ACAGTGGGGAGGCTGAGGCTGCACCCACCACCACTGCCCGATTCTGCCCCCCGCTCCCTGCCAGCTCTGCCTGCTGACCGCTGTGTCCCCCTGCCCCCGGCGCTGGCCCTGCTCCAGGCTCCTGCGGGGCGAAGCACACCCAGCTCCCAGGTTCCCAGACAGCCCCTCCCCGCCAGCCAGGGGGACCAGACGGCCTCCTCCACCCACCCGCTCCCACCTTCCTGGCTCGGAGGCGGGGAGCTGATGGAGTGCGGACAGACGGGCCTGACCCCAGGAAAGGGCCAGGGCTTTCCTCTCCCATCACCCCCACCCCTTATCTGCCTGTGTCTGGCACTGCGGGGCCGTGCCGGCCGAGCAGCGTGAGGAGGCCTGATTTTCCCCATCCCCTTATCTCCTGTAAACTCCACACCCTCGCAGGCCGGCCCGGCCCCCTCCCTCCGGCTCTCGGGTGTCAGGGGAGGTGTGAGGGGCTCCCTTTGGTGGAGCTTTCCCGGGGCCTGCGCCCGCCTGTGCCCTCCCCACTAGGTCTCCACTCATCATGGTAGCGAGAGTCTGGCTCAGGGTCGGGGAGGTTTGGGAACTGCCCTCACTGGTGGCCTTGTGGCCCAGGCCCCCTCCCCACTCCGTTTCTCCAAGAAGGCCTTGCGCAGCCTGTGGGAAGGGAACCCCGAGATGCACAGGGCTGGGGCCTGGGGGAGATGCTGAGGGCACCGCTCCAGGGGGCCCTGGAGAGGACCTGCTCCCCCTGCGCATGCTGAACCCCATGTCTGCTTCGGGGGTGGACCCCGGTGTGTCTTCTGAGCTGTGCCCTAGTCGGGCTGGCTCTCCACGTCCCAGGAAACTCAGGGGGCACCAGTGTGTGGGGTTTCTGAGGGCCTGTGAGGGCAGCCCCGCCTGCTCTGGGTCCCCCCGACTGCTCGCTGGGTCTCGGGGGGCCTGGGCTCCTGCAGAACAGCAGGCTTAGGAAGCAGACGCTCAGAGCCGACGGCCAGCTGCCCTCCAGCCTCAGCTCTGCCCGTGGAAAGGGGGCCCTGGCACTGGCCTATCTGCCTGGGCAGCGAGCACCTTGGTTTACAGCACTCAGCGAGGCTGGCTCAGGGTGTGAGTGAGCGATGACTGTGCATTTGAGGAGACTGAGACCTCAGGCTGGGGCGCAGTCACCCCAGAAAGTCCCAGCAGCTGGTGCCATCTGCCCTGGGGCTTGGGGCCCATCCACCCCCTGCCCCGGGTCAGAGCCAAGGAAGGCAAAGCTGACACCCAGGGCCAGCCCGGGGGGCTTCTCGCTGCTGCTCGAGGCAGGCTGGCCCTGGCTCTGGGCCCTGTGAAGGGTGCTGGGGCAGAGGCAGGCCGGGGCGGGGGGCGTGGGGGAGGGCAGGGCCGCCCATCCTGGCCCCAAGACCCCCCTGGTTCTGCCCCGGCGGCTCCAGGATTGTTCTCTGAGGAGGCAGATGGGGACCAGGAAGGGGGTGGGGAGGCAGGGAAGGGTTTCCGGCTTCCCAAGTCGGCAGGGTGGGCCCTGCAGTGACTTCCCCAAGTGTGTGTGAAGGTCCTCTCCCTCCCCCGCACCGAGGAGGGGATGTGAAGGGTCCAGATGGAGGCGGGAGGAGGCGCAGGAGGAAGGCATCCATCATCTGCGCTGAGCTCAGCCTTCCCGCTCCCCTGGGAAATTTCCGGGCGCCCGAGACCCCTGACCTGGGGGAGGAGGAGATGAGGCCCACCTGGGGGTCCTGAGGCCTGACCCAGCTCTGACTGCCGCCCCCGGATCTGGGCCGGAGGCCGGGAGAGCAGTCCCAGTGTGTGGCCCCCATCCCTCCGCCCCATCAGCCCGCGCGGCTGGGGGGGTGCCTGACGCTGCCTGGGCCTGGCCGCCCTCCTGAGCAGGGTTTGGCGCCTCTCGTTGCTCCAGGCTGCATGCCCAGCTGTACCAGGCAGTGCTGGGCCTACTGGGAGGGCAAGTGGGCGACAGGGAGAGTGGTGGGGTGCCTGGGGGTCCCCACCCAGGGCCTCTCCGGCGCCTCGGGCCCCTCCCAGCCTGGCTCCCTTGGCCGGACTGACATGTCCGAGGCCTCCGGGCCGGCTCAGCCCTTCATCCACTGCCCACTGCCCCGTGGGGACCAGCGGCCTTTGTCCTGCAGACCCTTCAGCACAGAGGGCAGGCTGAAAAGGGCCTGTAGGGGCAGATGGCCCAGAAAGGGGCCCTGCAAGTTGTCTCCCCGCTGCCTGCCTGCCCCCTGACCTCGGCACACGGAGCAGTGAGGGGGCATCGTCACCTGGGCGGGGATCACACCCTATCTGGCGGGCCGGGAGGGGCAACAGTGGCCTGGGGGTCAGGGAGACACCTGCTCACACCATCCCACCCCAGTCACGGTCAGCCAAGGCCTGCCCCTGCCCCCGGGAGGGGACAGACCAGAGCTCTATACAGGCCCTGCCATGGGCAGTGGTGGATGCAAAGGGAACCTGGGTTAGGGGCCACCCACGGAGGTGAGTTCAGAGGAAACTTCGGAAGCTTGGAGAGGGAGTGGGGTGGCCAGGGAGGCTGAGGAGGGTCCTGTCCAAAGTCTGCGATGATTCCGGCACCTTCCAGAATGGGGAAGGGCCGGGAAGGCCAGACTGTGCGGCAGTGAGGTCCGTGTGGCTGGGGTAGCAGTGGCCGCCCCGGGGGCGTGGATTGTGCCGCTCCGTGGCACACAGTTCCAAGCATGGAAGGACGTAGTCCAATAGCTTGTGGACAAAGAGCGTGGCCGGGGAAGGGGCAGGGGTCTGCAGGCAACCCCGTCGTCCCAGCCAACCTGGGAGACACAGGGCTGCAGCTCGGGGGGCGGGGGAGGTGGGGAGGGGCCCGGGACGCTGCCTGCGGGTGGCGGCGGGTGCAGGGAGGACCCACGTGCTCCAGCCCGGCCTCGGGGACAGCTGGGGTGCCCATGGGCCTCCAAGGCGTCTGGGGCGGTTTGAGGAGGCAGGTCCTGTGCTTGGGCAGTCTGAGGGGACGGCTTGCCCTGGACCCACAGACCTGACGGCTCTGCTGTGGGCGGCCAGTGGCGGCCGGGAGACAGGTCACGGCCGTCTCTGAGCTCTGTTCTCTGCCCCAGCAGACCCTGGCCCTCCCGGGGGCCCCCGGGAGGGGCTTCCCAGCCGCAGGTCCCCTGCCTGGGCATCAGGGACTTCTCCCTTACCCCGACAGGAAAATCCCTGCTCCCCTCCGTCACCTTGTGAAATGAGAACCACCGCCCCCGCCCCCACCCTGGGTCTCAGTTTCACTCTGAAAGGTCAGGCCGCGCACCGTGCCGGGGGGTGGATGTCATGGGGTCGCCCAGCTCCAGGGCGGGGGTGTCTCTGGACTGGCCCTCCCGCCAAGCGCCCAACAGACTCCGAGTCCCAGGGACAGCCCCAGTGAGCCGCCCGGCCCGGAGCCGGCGGCCGTGCCCTCCGTCGCCCGTCTCCTCTGGGTGCGCAACAGCCGGGGGAGGTGGGCCAAGGATGGGGCCAAGGAGCGGGCAGGCCCCTGCCAGGCCACGCAAGCCACGCCCTTCTGTGGGCATGCAGCGGCCGGAGGCGCAGGGGAGCCCAGGCTGGGCGGCGCTGATGTGAGGAGCCGCTCCCGAGCAAGGACACAGCTGTTCCCGTCACCTGCTCCGTGCCGTGTGGCCGGCCCCCGCAGGAGGCCAGGCCGCCTCCTTGGGGCACCGAGCCTGGGTCATGCCTCCCTCCCTTCCTCTGCAGCGAGTGGCAGGTCCTACCCGGCACCCCCCGGCTACCCCCGACAGCCCAGGGTGGGCACGCGCACCCTGACCCCAACAGACCCCAGCGGCCCAGCTGCTGCCCAGCCGCGCCCCCCCAGGACTCAGTCCCACGGCCCCCACCCCAGGGCTCCCCTGGAACTTGGCCGGGAGGAGACGCCCTTGCGCCTCCCTCACCTGCCCGTGCATGAGCCTCGCCAACAGCTCCAGCCTCCCTTCCTCGTCACTAAAAGCATCATCACGGAACCGGGTACCACTGCCTCCAGCCTCCCGTGGGAGAGCTGGGGTCAGAATCCACTCTGCAAGGAAAGCCTGAGGCCGCGGGGAGCCCAGCCTGCGGTGGCTCGGCTGGCGGGGGTCCTAGTGGGCCGGCGGGCTCTCCCTTCGCCCACCCCCGCCCCCTCTGGAGCGAGTAAGGGGGCGGCTGGTCGGCTCCGTCTCAGTCCTGTCGCTCTGGGCGTCTCACCCCCTCCCTCTGCCCTTCCTTTCTGCCATCCTCCCGCTGGGCCGTGGTCTCTCTCCACACAGCTGCCCACGCCCCGACCGTCAGTACTTCCGTCCATCCGCGAGCCCTGGCCGCTCCCGTGTCCAGCCCCTGCACCCTGGGACCAGCAGACCCCCACAGCCAGGGACCCCTCCTCGCCCCGTCTCAGGCGGGGGACGCTCCACAGAGCCTAGCGGCCTCCTGCAGACGCCTGGTCGCCAGCGTCCCCTCCCAGCTCCGGCTGTGCTCACGCGCACCCCGCCCGAAGCCCCGGTCGGCCCCTCACGGCCCACCGCCAGCCGGGCGCTCAGAACCCGTGGAGCCCTCCGCCTCCTCATCCCGGCGGGGCGGGGCGGGGCGGGGCGGGGCGGCGCGGCCCGGGAGAGGGCCCGGCCGGGCTCCCGGCACAGGCTTCGAGGGTCCCGAGGCTGAGCACCCCATCTTGGCCAGGCCTCTTGGACCGGGCCCACAGTCTCCGCCTTGCCTGCCCAAGGCCCGGGCTCTTCCCTCGGCGTCCAGCCCGCCTGGAGCCTGGTTCACATCCTACTGGCGGGTGGCAGAACCCACCTCTCCAGCGAGGCCCAGCTGCAGAGGCAGACGGAAGGAGGCATCTCGCTGCCCCGGGGGGTGGGTGGGGACAGAGACCCAGGAAGACGCCCTGCAGCCTGCGAGCCTCGTCCGGGCCCCGCGCTGCCGCAGACCTCGGGTTAAGCGCGACCCCACAATGTGCGGATGCAAAAGCTTGTGCGGACCTGGGCGCGCACGCGGCAGGGCCTTACCCTGTGTCTTCTTCCGCCAGCAGCTCCCGCCGCTCCTCGGAGCCCGGGTGGCCGGGAGCCTCCGCCATGGGTCCTCGCTGTGCGTGTGAGCTGCAGCTCTGGGCGCTTCCTGGGGCGGCCGTCCCAGAGCCCCCACCCCCAGCCGGGTTTCACTTCCCCCTTCCGGCTGCAGGTTGAGGTTTGGAAGGCATCGGGGCTGGGGTTGGGGTGTTGTTTTCTAATCTGTTGCTGCAAGAGAAGAGAAAAAAACACGAGTCGCCAGGAAGCGTTAAGCAAGTTGCCGGGGCCTGGAGGGCCCGGAGGCGGAGGTGAGGCGGAGGTGCAGGGTGTGGGGGCCGGGACCCCACACCGGAGCCACCCACCCACCCACCCGCAGTCCCGGCCTCGACATCCAGCTCTGCGTGGCTGGTGTCCCCAAGCAGGGGACGCGGTCCCGGTCCCTAAGCCTCCACGTGAAGCGTGGTGGCCTCCCTGGGTGGCGTCGCCTGGGTGCACTCCCAGAGCATGGTCCCCTTTCCCGAGTCTCGGGCCATCGCCTGGTTCACCCCTCACTGGTCCCTGCTCTCCAGAAGTCTAGGACCCGGCCTGAGCTGCCCTGCCCGCAAACAGCCCCGTGTTTGCTCACAGCTCTCTCTCCTCTCCTGAGCTGTTGGGGTCTCTCTGCTGTCCCTGGACTCTGCCAGCGCCCGTGGCCAGGGGGCTCGGGACTGACCCGCACCACCAGATGGTGCCCATCCCCACCCTCGAAGGCCCAGAGACAACAGACCCCTCCTGTGGAGGGGTTGAACTGTGTCCCCAAATCTGTAGGCTGGAGGCCCGCTGGCCGGCACCCCAGAATGGGACCTTATTTGGAAATAGGGTCATTGTAGATGCAGTCAGTTAAGATGAGGTCACTAGGTCATAATTCAGGATGACTGATGTCCTTACCAAAAGGGGAAACTTGGAGGCAGACTGGCCTGTCGGGAGATGCCAACTGAAGATGAAAGTGAGGTGTGGGTGGTGCGTCTCCAAACGAAAAGCCCCAGGAAACCACCAGCCGCTGGGGAGGGGCCAGGAGCAACCCCTGTGACAGCTGGGTACCCGCCTCCAGGCTCCAGGACGGGAGGTGTTGCAGCCACTCCGGGACGCTCACACCCCTGCCTCCCGCTGTGCGTCCAGCAAAGTGGCCCTGACACTTGCCGAAGCGGAAGGAAGGGAGACACCCCGTTTCCACGCCTGGAAGGTGGGGGCCCATGGCAGCCGTGCCCGAGGGTGCCTCGGGGCTCTGGGGCCCACGGGGGCAGCTTCCCCCCACTCACCGGGGTCCCCCTCCTCGGCCGCAACTCGCTCCACCACCCTCTCCCCTCTGAGGTCCAGCTCCTGCCCTGAAGCTCTGCCCCCCAAGTCCCAGGGCCAGCCAGCTGCTGACCATGCCTCCAGCCTCCCCTGCTCCCTTCAGCCCGTTTCTGCATGCCTGTGCTGGAACCTCACACCTTCAGGCAGAAATGCCCCAGGCCCGCCTCCTCACACCACCCCTCTCCTTCAGCCCCCGTGGGCGAGGCAGACAGCACCGCTGGGGACCCAGTGCCCGAGCCCGAGGGCCCCTGTGCCCCGCTGGGGGGCAGGTGAGGAGAGCTGGTCTTCCTCGGAAGAACTCGGGGTCCACCCAGGAAGCAGACGCGCCGTCGATCACACAGACTCCAGAGGGGCCTTCAGGAGGCCGAGGCCACGCTCAGCCCCCGCTCGCGCCCAGCCTGCCATGGTCTCCAGCGACACGGAGAAGGACCGGGGGAAACAGCGAGTCCTGCGGGAGGACGGGGTGCACACCAGGGAGGCTTCTGCCCCTGCGGTGCTGAGCCAGGCGCGCAGGTCCCGAGCCCGAGGTGCTGGCCGGGAGGAGGTCTGGGCGAGGCAGACGGGGGCAGAAGGGCCCAGGTCCACTGACTCTGCCTGCGAGACGCCCAGGCAGACCACCCTGGGGAGGCCGGGCCACAGACGAGGTGGCCTCCAAGGCCCAGGTGAGACAGGACCCCGGGGAAAGCAGCTTCAGGACCACACCCTCCAGGGACCAGGCGATGAGATGCTGGGGGCAGGGGTGGTGAATGAGAGACAGGGTGGGGGTGTGTGAGCAGCAGGGGTCAAGATCAGGAAAGTGGTCAGCGCAGGGACAGGTCAAGGCAGAAGAGGGTGATGCACGTCTGATCCGGCTGAGCGCTGACGGTGTCCTTGTAGGAAGAGGCGGTCAGGGCTCAGACACACACAGGGGCGACCCTGGAGGCCACGGGGAGGAGATGGCCGTCCGCACGCCCAGGAGGGAGGCCTCCGGAGGGCCAGCCCTGCCCGCACCCGGGTCTGGGGTTCCGGCCTCCAGGCCTGGAGACGTGAGTCCTGCTGTTTCAGTTGCCCGGCTGTGCTTCGCCTTTGCCGGTGCCCTGGACGCTGACTCAGGGATGTGCCCTTCAGGGAAGGGAGGAGCTGCGGTAACAAACAGCCCCACGCCTCGGGGCTCAGCGCCAAGAGCGCGTCACTCTCAGCCCCATCCAGGTGGGAGGGGAGGGGGCCCACACTCATCCTGGGGCCCCAGGCCCCTCCTCTGAGGACCTCGGAGCCCCGGCTGGCAGGGGAGGGGTGGAGAGACCACGAGGGAGGCCGGGGACGGGGGTTGAGAAGTCAGGGTGCCTGGAGGCACTGGGGACCCAGGCATGGCGTCGGCAAGCTCAGACAGGAAGCGGGAGAAGGTCGGGTCTCGAGAGGGTCCGGACGTGGATGCCGACTGCGGAAACCCAAGCAGAGGCGTCCTGGGAGGTTTGTGTGGGTGTGGGCACAGCGGGGAGACGCCGGAAGAGAGACGGTCGGCAGTGAGCAGGCCAGGGGGAGGCCCGGGGTCTCCAGCTGCACCGTGACCCTCATCACGTGCTCGGCTTTCATGCGTGCGAGCGTGCGCAACGCTGGGAGGGCTTTCCTCTGGGAGGAGCCTCGGGATTTGGTGGTGCAGCTCCCCCCACCACCGCCACGTGTTCCCGCATCAGGGGAGCTGGGGCCTGGGGTCCTGGCCTGGGGACAGAAAGAGACAGGGAGTCTGCCAGGGCAGGTGGGACCCCGGGGGTGGCAGGTGGGTGACAGGCGCCATCGGAGACAGGGGAACAGATCAGGGTGTCTGTGCACACATGTGAGCCCTGATGGGGGCTGGGGGTCAGGCCGAGGGGTGCGCCTGGGACCCCGGGCACCTGGCTGGGTCTCCTTGCAAGGGAGGCAGCTTCAGTGGGCCTGGAATTGCCAGGAAGCCAAAGAATGTTCAAACTACCGTCCAGTTGCGCTCCTTTCACATGCTAGCAAGGTCATGCTCAGAATCTTCCAAGCTAGGCTTTAGCAGTACGTGAACCGAAAACTTCCAGATGTGTGAGCTTTACAAAAGGCAGAGGAACCAGAGATCAAATTGCCAATATTCGTTGGATCATAGAAAAAGCACAGGAATTCCAGAAAAACATCTATTTCTTCTTCATTGACTACAAGAAGGCCTTTGACTGTATGGATCACAACCAACTGTGGAAAATTCTTAAAGAGGTGGGGATACCAGATTACCTTATCTGTCTCCCAAGAAACCTGTATGCAGGTCAAGAATCAGCAGTTAGAACTGGACATGGAACAACGGACTGGTTAAAATTCGGGAAAGGGGTGCGTCAAGGCTGTATATCATCACTCTGCTTATTTAACTTATATTCCGAGTGCATCTTGCAAAATGCTGGGCTGGATGAAGCACACTCTGGAATCAGGATTGCCTGGAAAAATATCAACAACCTCAGATACACAGATGATGCCACTCTAATGGCAGAAAGAGAAGAAGATCTAAAGAGCCTCTTGATGAGGGTGAAAGAGGAGGGTAAAAAAGCTGACTTAAAACTCAACATTCAGAAAATGGAGATCATGGCATCCAGTCCCATCTCTTCATGGCAAATAGAAGGGGGAAAAGTAGAAGCTGTGGCTGATTTTCTTTTCTTGGGCTTTAAATCACTACAGATGGTAACTGCAGCCGTGAACTTAGAAGACGCTTGCTTCTTGAAAAGAAACTTATGACAAACCTAGACAGTGTATTGAAGAGCAGAGATATCACTTTGCTGACAAAGATCCAAACAGTCAAAGCCATGGTTTTTCAAATGGTCGTGTACGGGTGTAAGAGTTGGACCATAAAAAAGGCCGAATGCTGAAGAATTGATGCTTTCAAACTGTGGTGCTGGAAAAAAACTCTTGAGAGTCCCTTGGAAACCAGCCCTGAATATTCATTAGCAGGACTGATGCTGAAGCTAAAATTCCAATACTTTGGCCACCTGATGCAAAGAGCCAACTCGTTGGAAAAGACCTGATGTTGGGAAAGATTGAGGGCAGGAGGAGAAGGGAGCAGTAGAAGATGAGATGGTTGGATGGCATCACCAACTCAATGGACATGAGTTTAAACAAACTCCAGAAGATGGTGAAGGACAGGGAAGACACCCGTCCTAGTCCACAGGGCCCTGTCCGCTCCCGAGTGCACTCCTGGCAGCATCCCATCCCTGAGGCTGGCACCTCCCGCCCCGCCTTGTCTCTTTGGCCCACCGCACTCACCCGACCTGCTGAAGAAGGGTGGGTCCGGAACCCTCCCAAGACCCCCGTCTGGGTCCTCCGCCTCCCACCATCAAGTGACAGACTTTATTTTCTTGGGCTCCAAAATCACTGCAGATGGTGACTGCAACCATGAAATTAAAAGATGCTTATTCCTTGGAAGAAAAGTTAGGCAAACCTAGACACTGTATTAAAAAGCAGAGACATCACTTTCTTGACAAAGATCCATATAGTCAAAGCTATGGTTTTTCCAGTAGTCACCTACTGATGTGAGAGTCAGACCATAAAGAAGGCTGAGTGCCCAAGAATTGATGCTTTCAAACTCTGATGCTGGAGAAGACTCTTGAGAGTCCCTTGGACACCAACAAGATCAAACCAGTCAATCCTAAAGGAAATTAATCCTGAATATTCATTGGAAGGACTGAAGCAACAATACTTTGGTCACCTGACACAAAGAGCCGACACATTGGAAAAGACCCTGATGCTGGGAAAGAGAAGGGGATGACAAAGGATGAGATGGTTGGATGGCATCACTGACTCGATGGACATGAGTTTGAGCAAACTCCAGGAGATAATGAAGGACAGGGAAGCCTGGCGTGCTACAGTCCATGGGGTCACAAAGAGTCAGACACAACTGAGAAACTGAAGAACAACCATTTTGCCATTGTTTAAGAAGTTTTTTAAAGAAGGTTTAATTGGGAGGAAATTATTTCAGGCCATCAGAAAAGTTTCAAGACTGACCCTCAGAGCCCATGCACATCCTCAGCTCCATCACCTGTCATCTCTGCCCCTCTTTCAGCCTCTTCTACTCCTAGGGACTCACAGTCTTTCCTAAAACAGGAGCAGCCCTCTCCCCTGACCGCAGTGCAGGCCCAACCTCAGCCCACCGCTGAGCTCTCGCCGGCCACCGCCTGCCTGCTGCCCACCTGCCCTCCTTGGGTCTGCTCTGTCTTCACTCCGCCCTCCTCGTTGCTGGCGCCGAGACGGTCCAGGCTCTCTGGGCACCCACGGCCCCTGTGCTCAGCTGTCCACCCCTGAGCCATGCTCGCTTCCTGGAGGACAGTGTAGGGACCGAGGCCCCGGGTGTCTGGGTGCCCTCGCAGGGGCAGGATGGAGCGAGCTGCAGGCCCAAAGCCGTACACACCCCGCACCTCCCGGGAGCAGACGGGAACATCCAGCCAGTCTCCGCCAGGTTCACCCGGCCCCCGGCCCAGCCAAGCCAGGTCCCCTGGGACTTCCTGACCTCCAGCATCACCCCCAGTGGGCACATTCCCTGCACGTCTTGCCGCCTCCTCCTGCCCTTGGGGGTTCTTCCCGGGCAGCGTCCGGCTCAGGCGCTTCAGGAGTCGCTGCCTCCCCTCACCCGTTGTCAGGGACCTTGCCCAGCGCTGAGGATGCTCAGACCCCATCTTCAGCCCTGCGCTGAGGATGCTCAGACCCCATCTTCAGCCCCGACCCCTGCACCCAGCTGTCTGTCTGGGATCAGCCACTTCCTCCCCCCGCAGAACCAGCCCTGCACCCGCTCTGGGCACAGAGCTGGGTGCCCCATCTCCCTGCTCCACCACGTCCTGGGGGCTCTGCCTCTCGAATCTCTCTGCACCCACTGCCGCTCTCCCCCTGCCTCCCAGGAGTGACAGTGGCTCCCTTCCTGCCTCCAGCCTCAGCCATTCTCCACACTGCAGAGAACTTTCTAGAAGGCCGAGTCCTCACCACTTGCCCGCAGGTGGAGTACATGCTTCCCCGATTGGCCCATGTCCACACGGCTGCAGGGACACAGGTCACCCAGCAGTGCCAGCCTCAGAGGGTGGCAGAGAGGCGTGGAGCCAGGCCGAGCTGCATGGGGTGGGTGTTTGCCGGTCTGGCTTGGTTCACATGGTCCTCAGTCATGTTGTTTGTTCATTGGAAAGTGTAACAAGCACCCATGAGGGGGTTTCCCAGGTGGCTCAGATAGGGGAGATGTGGCTTCAATCCCTGGGTTGGGAAGATCCCCTGGAGAAGGGAATGGCTACCCACTCCAGTGTTCTTCCCTGGAGAATTCCATGAACAGAGGAGCTTGGCGGGCTACAGTCCATGGGGTGAAGATCATTCCCCAAACCCATCAAGAGTTGGGTCCAGCCTGTGGGGGTCGCCTCCCTGGGGTGCCCCGCCTCCAGCCCCAGGGACAGAGTCACGCCCTCTTTCCCTGCACAGGTGCTGGGCTCACTTTGCGGGATAGGGGGCAGGTACTGCCTCCACCGCTGGGAGCTCTGGCCACCGCAGCCCACTCAGTCCTGGAGCCCACGGCCTGCCGCCTGCCCACACTGGGCTCCGCTCTCGCGAGCCACCCGCCGTCGGGAGCGCTAGGTTAGCCAAGCAGGAGGGCTTGCTGGGCCCGCCCTGAGCCGCAGGGTAGCCGAGCTGGAGGGCCCGCAGCAAGGTGCTCGCAGGACGGAGCCCAGTCCCCGGGCTGCAGCATCAGGGCCAGGCAGCGGGACTGGCCAAGGCCTCGGGCGGGCTGACGGCCCTCCCTCGAGGCTCAAGGCTCCGGGCCCCTGCGCATCAGTCGCGGGGGCCTCCCGAGGGCAAGGGCAGGGTGGACAGCCGCTCCATCATCGCTGAGGCCTGGCCTCCCCACCAGAGATCTGAGCGCGGGGCCTTCGTGGACCGTGCCGTCATCCCTCAGGCGGAGGCTGAAGGCGGCCTTGCTGTGACAGTCCTGTCTGGGCATGCCAGGGACATTGTCCCCTGAAGGGGTGGCCAGGGCAAGGGGCAGGCAGGAAGGAGGGCCAGGCCTCCCCACTCCGCTGGGCCTAGAGTGGGGCTGCCAGTCTCCGGGGAGAGACAGACCGCAGCCCCTTGAAGCCCCCAGGAGTCTGGTCCAGGACCACCCCCCAAGCCCGTCTGGGTGCCTGGGGTCTGGGGAGGGGCAGCTGGGAGGAACCGGCTACCTGCGAGGGGAGGGAGGCCCCCCAGGCCTCTGCGTGGGCTGGGGCTTCAAGGACAGTGAGTGTCTCTGGGCCTTGAGGGGACCTCTGTGACAACAGCGACAACAGCCGCACGGTCATCTCAGGGTGTTGCTCTGAAACGGCCCCGGCCACCTGTGTCCAGGCCTGGGGGTCTGACTGCCAACGCCACCCGGCTGCCCCAGCGGGTGGGCAGGGAGGAGGGCCCCTGGCCTGGAGACCACCCCCCCAGGACAGTCGGGACCCTCGAAGCCTGCTTGTGGCTCCCCCACACCAAGACCAGGCACAGGCTCAGGGCCTTCCCAGGGCCGCCTGTGGACAGAGGCTGGGGCGGCGCCAGACCAGTGCAGGGGGGAGCAGACATGGGGATTGGAATCCTTTATTGACAGGTGCCAAGCCGGCCTCGGGGGGCCCCCGAGGTTGCAGGGGTGCCGGGCTGTGGCCGGGGGTGAGGGGCCTAGGACTCGGTCTCGAACATCTTCTTGCGGCCCTCCATGCCTGACTTCTCCTCGATGTTCTTCCTCCAGTCGCCCACGTCCCGCAGGTCGCGCTCCTGCAGGGAGGACAGGGCTCAGGCCGGCGCCCCGCCACGCTGGCCCCCCACGCCCGGCCCTGCCGGCGGGGCCAGCCTACCTTCTCCGTGTCTTCCTTCTTGACCTGCTTGAGATTGGCCCGCAGGTCCATGCACACCTTGTGCTTGGAGCCCAGCAGAGCCTTCAGCATGGCGTCGGCCGACATGCGCACGCGGCGCAGCGGGGGCCTCTTGAACTTGCCCCTCAGGTCGAACAGCTTCTGGTTCATGTCCTCCAGCTGCAGGGCGGGCGGCAAGGCTGGGTCCCGCCGCCAGGGCGGCCCCGCGCACCCCCGGGCCCCACACGCCCCCCGCGTCTCACCTCCTTGGTGCTCTTCTGCACCTTCACCTCCATGTCGTATTTCTCCTCCTCGGCCGCGTCGATCTTGGCGTGCAGCTGTCTGCAGAGCTCCTGGCGACGGAGACCGCGGTGTGTGGGCGGGTGGGCGACCCCGCGCTTGGCCTCCACCCGCCTGACCACCCTGCTCGTCCTCCTGACCCGGGGGAGGCCGGTCCAGGCCAGGGACGGGGCCCATGGGGGTACCTGCACTTCGGACATGGAGCCGGGGAGATGCAGCGGCGGGCAGTGCTCCGACAGGTAGTTCTGCTTCTCCGCCTCCCGGCGGCCCTCCTCCTTCTCCAGCTCCGTGGCCGCGATCTGCAGCATGACGCTCTGGGGGCAGGGGGGCGGGCAGCGGGTGGTGAGGGGCTGCGGCTGGCCAGGCCCCCCGGGCCGCCCTCCCCGGGCCCGCACCTACCTTCAGGTGCTGCCTGCGGGCCGTGATGGCCCTGTTGCGTTTCTGCAGGGTAGGGGAGAGGAGGCGCAGTCAGGGCTGGCGGGGGGTGCGGGGTCCCGGCACCCTGCACCCTTCCCTGCCCGCCCGGCCAGCCAGGGCATCCTGCCCAAGGGACGGCAGGGCCTGGGCCTGGTGGGGGGGACATGAGCCCAGGACACGGTGCCACGTGGTGACCCTTTGCCAGGGCGGCCCTTCTGGTTGGAAGGCCTGGGGTCTGGAGAAGAGACTTCGGATGGGGAGGCCGGGAGGAGGGCAGGGGAGACCCTTGGGCCCCAGGGGTGGGGGTGGGGAGCAGCCATGAGAAAGAAGAAGCGACTCCCCGGTGACCAGGCCGCAGCCTCACTTCCCCTGGCCCGTGGGAGGGGCCGGCGGGGAGGCCACTTCCTCTGTTTCTCGCTGTCTCGGTGGGTGGGGTGGGGCAGTTTCACCCACAAGGTGACAGACCGTCTCCCTGGGCCTCGGAACTCCAGTTTCAGGCCTGTCCTGACTTGGGGGTCCCATCCCCTCCGTGTTTCACCCCCAAGCCAGTACTCACCTCCTCACTGTCCCAGGAGAGCGGGCGGGGGGTGGGGGAGAGAGAAGAGAGGTTAGGGCCACGGGGCTGTGTGATGGGGCGGGCAGGCACACGGGGTGGCCAGGTGGGGACACGCGGAGGCCCCCACCCAGCGCTGGGGGGCGGGGGCCCTGGGGGCAGCGGGCTGAGGGTTGCACTTACTCCCCCATTGTGCAGTCCTGGGCTGATAGCCTGCGGGAGAGAAAGGTGAGGGGGTCAGGGCCCCTGCCCGCCTGCCCTGCACCCGGCAGGGCGGGGGCAGCACCAACCCGCTCCCCACCCCCACCTCCTTCAGGGCCACGTCTTGGAATTCCCCGGGGCGGGGGCGGGCAGTAAGAGGAGAAAGTGTGCCCGAAATGTCCCTGCGGGCCTGGAGTTGCTGCAGCTGTCCCCGCGGGAGGGTGGGTCTGGCCAGCGCAGGTGGCCACCCGAGGCGCTGGTTATTTTTAGCTCTGCTCCTTCGGCTTCTGGCCCAAGTGCATAGAAGACGCTGCCCCCCGTTAGGGCCCGGGGTCCCTCATTCCATGGAGTCCCCTACCCACGGCCCAGAGCCGAGGCTTGGCCGTCGCTGTGCCGTCCGGGAACCCCATGCCATGCCAGCCCGCTCCAGGGGCGTCTTCCTGCAGCCCTCTGCTCTGCGGAACCCCCAGACCCCAGACCCCCACCCTGGCCCCGGAGACGTCCCTCTGTAGGAGCGCTCCAGACGCGCCCGTGCCGGCCTCGGCGGGCCAGGCCGGCCTCACCTCGCGTCTGGGCAGTGGCAGTGGGACCGAGGTCAGGCCGGCAGCGGCGAGCTGGGCTGGTGGGTCCGGGGGAGGGCTATAAATGGCCTCCCCCGGGCTGGGCCTCCGCTCGGAAAGGGCATGGAGTCCTGCTCAGACCAATGGGGGCACAGGGGCCTCCCCACCTGCCCAGGCCGCCTGGCCCGGCCCCGCCGCCACCGCCGCCGTCCAGGCCAAGAAGTCTTGGGAGGGGGTGCTGAGGTTGGGCTGGTCTATTTAGGGCGACGTGACGACTTCGAATCGCCTCCCTTGTATCTTGCAAGGAGCCCGAGGACAGCGTGACGGCCTCAGCAGCTGTGGGGCCCAGCTCAGGGGTCAGCCGAGGGGTCACTCCGGCCCAGCCCCGTCCGCCCAGAGTCAGGGTTCACTCTGGGTTCCCCTCGGCTTCCCCAGGCCTCTGGGCCCCCGGGAAACAGCAGCCCTGGGCTGCTTACACTCTGCTGCCCATTGTGCCCTCTAGCCCAGTGGGCGGCTTGGGCATGAGCTGTTCCCGTGCTCCCTGCCTCAAGCTGGCCGGGCCAAGGCCAGACCCCAGACAGAGCCTCCGGGGCCTGCAGCAGCCCCGGGGACCCTGGGCTGAGGGTGGGGGGACTGCCGTCCAGGGCAGGACCCCCACCATCCTCCCAGAGCGGGACGGGAGGTCCCAGATGGACATGCAGCCTTGCCCAAGCGCCCTGCCCGTGGGCTGGCTCCCCGCCCAGCTCGGAACACGTCCTTCAAACCCCGGATTTCGGCGCCACCGGCCTGGGAACCTCTCCCTGACCCGAGGCTCAGGCAGGCGGCTCAGGCAGGCCCAGCACTGCTCTCCTCACCCCAGCCCCAGGCCTGCGGCCCCCCACCCTGGCCCCCGCCCAGCAGAGGCATCCGGACGACCATGACTTGGCATCCCTTGAGCTGGGGGTTCTCGGCCGTGGGGAGGGTCAGGGATAGCTAAAGCCGTCCAGATGTGTGGGGATTGGAGCTGCTTTCTGGGCCAGGCTGAGCCCCAAGGGCCCAGGGCGGCTTCTGCAGGCATCTACTGCCCCCTGCTGTGCGTGCAAGGGGGGGGTGGCCCACACCACCATCCAGTCGGTCTGGGGGCTTTGTGGGGAACTGGGGTGGTCCCAGGAATTGGAGTTCCCTCCATCCCCTGTCACCACCACCCCCAAACATCTCCCTCTTGCCCACTGTGTCCCCAGGGACCCATCCCTAACTCTCTACTCGTCCCAGAGGAGGGAGCCCCACCTCCAGGATCATCCCCAGCGGGCCTAGAGGGGCCCCTTTGCCCTAACTCAGGGGTCAGGCACCAATCAGAGGCCTCAAGGCCTGGCTGAGCCATGAGAGGAGACCCTCTCTCATCCACAGGAGGGGCCGTGGCGGTATCGGGAGGCCCTGACCCTGCAGTGCCCGCGGAGCTCAGGAAGGACACATGGTGTGGGGCGAGGGCGTTTATTACGGCGGGACCCGGGGCAACCCGCATGGGAGACCCAGGCCCAGGGACGCCCTCAGAAGCCGGGCAAGGGCAGACGCCGGCGGGACTGCAAGGCCAGGGCCTGGTCCACCTCCCCGGCTGGCTGCAGGCGGCGCCACTGGGCGCCAGGCCGCCAGGCCAGCATGTCCGCCCAGTGCTGGAGGGGCTGCCTAGAGGCCCGGGAGCCCAGCAGCACCTTGCCGACAGGCTCGGCCCACAGCCAGCACCAGATCCACGCCCTGGGTAGAAGCAGGCAGAGGTGTAGGAGGAGGGGAAGAAAGACAGCAGTCAGTTTTGCCCTGAGTGAGGTTCCCCCCACCCCCTCCTCCAGGCAGCCCACCTGGATCTGGCTGAAGGGCACAAGGAAGGTGAAGGGCTCATTGAAGTAAGGGGCGGGCGGCCGTGCCCTTCCTGGCCGACGTCTTTCTCTTCTTCCACTTCCTCTGGTTCAGCGTGGGCTGGACCTTCACGTAGGGGTCTGGGCGCATGAAAGGGGTCAGGGGGCCTCCCAGGTCTGAGGGCTGGGGCCTGGGTTTCCTCTGTCCACGTGGAGGGGCGGGTTCAGCGCTCGCCCACCAGCGCTGGGCTCGGGCCTCGGGCCTCCAGCACGACCACGGTCAGCCGGCCCGAGCTGGGCACGCAGCGCAGTGAGGAGCACAGCTCCGCAGTCTGCTCAGGCTGCAGGCAGCAGGAGAGGGCCTCAGCTCCCCCGCAGCACGCGGAGCCGGGCGGGGGGCGGGAGCCCGGGGCGGGCAGGCCCCGCTGGGCGCCAGAGCTCCGGCACGTGCCGCAGATCCCGGAGCGCAGCAGCAGGCTGAGCGCGCCCAGCGGCCGGTGCTGGGAGCGGTGCCTGCGGTCCAGGGGCAGCCCTGCGGGCGGCACCCGCGGGGGGGTGTGGGCCGCCCGCCCAGGCCCCCGGGCCCAGCCCCGACCCCTGTGGAGGGAGCAGGTCTCCTTGAGCACAGGGCACAGTGTGCCGCGGCGCACCTTCGTCTCGTGCGTGCGCCCGGCGTCCGGGGACAGGCTCAGGCGGTCATAGGGGTCTGCCGTGCCACCCGGCGCCCCGGGCCTCAGCTCCGCGGCCTGCTGGAGGCCTACCCTGATCTAGGAGCCAGGGGGTGGTTTCAGCCAGGTGCCCCTCCCTGGTCAGCCCTGCGCCACCCAGCACTGGGCACTCACCCTTCACCCGTCACCCCTCCAAAATCCCACACATCCTCTGGGACCCCCTCACCTCCTGGCTTCCAGAGTCGTACTCCAGGGACAGCTGCAGGCGCCCCCCACTGCTGGCCCCCCCCCAGGTCCAGATGCCACGTTATCCACCTCCGGCTGCACCTGGGTGGCATTGCAAGGATGCTGACCGCTGTGCCCATTGGAGCCCCCACCCCGCAGGCAGCGGGTCCGTGACAGAGCAGAACTCCAGGCCACTAGAAGGCCACCCTCCGCTCAGCCCTGCAAGGCTGGCCACAACGCCCCCCAATCCACTTCTCAGGCCACTGCTTTCCTCCCGAACCTCTGCAGCTCCCCGCAACAGCTTGTCCTGGGCTCCCCTCCTCCCGGGGGCACCGGCAGCTTGGTCATAGGATCCAGCCCAGCCCCAGCCCCCCAGGAACAGGCAGACATCAGAGCTGGACCCCACACTTCTGTGTCCCCCGCCCACCCTGCTGCCTAGTGCGGGAAGGGTCAGAAAAGTCCCCTCCGTCTAACGAACGGCCTCAGCGGCCCCCACCAGCACCAGCCCAACCTGTTTAGGAGGGGCTGCCATCAAAGCGGGGGTCCTGGCCACGGGGGTCCGGCCGCACAGCCCGGCTGTCTCCCCTGCCCCCCGAATGAGCCTGTCTCGTCCCCACAGGGGCTTTCCGATCACAGCTGGCAGAGCCAGGCCCCGGGGAGCCGCCCGCACGAGGAGGGGGCGTCAGGCCGGCAGGGACTCAGGGCAGAGGCCGGGCTTGCTCTCACCCCCGCCACTGCCAGCTTGAGTGAAGGTTTGGAGCAAGAGGCCGCACGAGTCCTGCGTGGGCCCCACAACTGTGGAGCCAGTCCTGGCCGGGGGGCCGCTGGCAAGGCCCTGGTGGTGGAGCGTGGGGGCGCTCGGGGCGCTCACAGGACCAGGCGGCCCCGCTGACCCCTCCTAGGCCACCTGGAGAAGCGCCCGGGTGGGCTGCCCAGAGCCGCTGGCCCGCAGGCCCCTGGAGCTGCCCTGTGGTGGACGCAGAGTCCCAGCTCCCACGTGGGGCTGAAAGCCCACCTTTACCTCCTGACACATCAGAGCCGAAGTGCATCCAGAATTAAGACAGCTTCCTTCACAGTTCTCATGGTGGAGAATATGGGGTCAGTGGTCATGGTCAACCCAGAGTCCCCATCTGTGTGTGTGTGTGGGTGCGTGTGCGTGCCTGTGTGTGGGTGCGTGTGTATGCGTGTGCGTGCCTGTGGGGGGGCGCGTGTGCGTGCCTCTGTGGGTGCGTGTGCGTGCACACTTGTGAGTGTGCATGCGTGTGCGTGCCTGTGGGGGCGCGCGTGTGCGTGCCTCTGTGGGTGCGTGTGCGTGCCTGTGTGTGGGTGCGTGTGTATGCGTGTGCGTGCCTGTGGGGGCGCGCGTGTGCGTGCCTCTGTGGGTGCGTGTGCGTACACACTTGTGAGTGTGCATGCGTGTGCGTGCCTGTGGGGGCGCGCGTGTGCGTGCCTCTGTGGGTGCGTGTGCGTGCCTGTGTGTGGGTGCGTGTGTATGCGTGTGCGTGCCTGTGGGGGCGCGCGTGTGCGTGCCTCTGTGGGTGCGTGTGCGTGCACACTTGTGAGTGTGCATGCGTGTGCGTGCCTGTGGGGGCGCGCGTGTGCGTGCCTCTGTGGGTGCGTGTGCGTGCCTGTGTGTGGGTGAGTGTGCATGCGTGTGCGTGCCTGTGGGGGCGCGCGTGTGCGTGCCTCTGTGGGTGCGTGTGCGTGCACACTTGTGAGTGTGCATGCGTGTGCGTGCCTGTGGGGGCGCGCGTGTGCGTGCCTCTGTGGGTGCGTGTGCGTGCCTGTGTGTGGGTGCGTGTGTATGCGTGTGCGTGCCTGTGGGGGGGCGCGTGTGCGTGCCTCTGTGGGTGCGTGTGCGTGCACACTTGTGAGTGTGCATGCGTGTGCGTGCCTGTGGGGGCGCGCGTGTGCGTGCCTCTGTGGGTGCGTGTGTGTGCCTGTGTGTGGGTGAGTGTGTATGCGTGTGCGTGCCTGTGGGGGTGCGCGTGTGCGTGCCTCTGTGGGTGCGTGTGCGTGCCTGTGTGTGGGTGCGTGTGTATGCGTGTGCGTGCCTGTGGGGGCGCGCGTGTGCGTGCCTCTGTGGGTGCGTGTGCGTGCACACTTGTGAGTGTGCATGCGTGTGCGTGCCTGTGGGGGCGCGCGTGTGCGTGCCTCTGTGGGTGCGTGTGCGTGCCTGTGTGTGGGTGCGTGTGTATGCGTGTGCGTGCCTGTGGGGGCGCGCGTGTGCGTGCCTCTGTGGGTGCGTGTGCGTGCACACTTGTGAGTGTGCATGCGTGTGCGTGCCTGTGGGGGCGCGCGTGTGCGTGCCTCTGTGGGTGCGTGTGCGTGCCTGTGTGTGGGTGCGTGTGTATGCGTGTGCGTGCCTGTGGGGGCGCGCGTGTGCGTGCCTCTGTGGGTGCGTGTGCGTGCACACTTGTGAGTGTGCATGCGTGTGCCCTCCCTGCACCCTGCTTGGCTGCTGTCCTCCTGTTTGGCCGGCGAGCTGTGGATTTCAAGCTGCCGGGATTTGGTGAAGGGGGAGCCCCAGAACCACAAGAGGGGCCTGGGAGCCGCCCCGAGGGGACCACGGGCCCCTGGGCACACCAGCAGTGAGCGGTGGGGGCCCCCGAGGCCTGGGCAGGCGCAGGGTCCCCCTGGATGGCCGGGTTCCCGCGGTGGTTAGGGTTCCGGCCTGCACGCGGCCACCAGGTGGCACTGTGTGCTCCACCGGCCGGGCGGGGCCGCCAGCCTGTGTCCAGGCCTGGGGTCCTGGGGGGTGCTCGCAGGGGCCCCGGGAGGGCAGGCGGCCCAGGGGTGGCCTCACGGGCCCTGCTCAGCCCTCCCTGTCCCCATGCCGGCCTCTGGACGCCCTCCCTGCCTGGGCAGCGCCTCAGCCGCTGAGGAGGGGCCGGAAGTCCCTACAGGAGTCTACCTTCTGTGGCCCTGCTGGGGAAAACCTCCTGGGTGCTAAGGCTGCTTTTCCCAGGAAGTGGGGGCTGGGTGCTTCCTGAGTGGAGTCTCAGCCCCCGCCACCTCCTCCAGGGTTCCCTCCAGGCCACCCTGCTCTCCCCTTCCGGGCAGGGTGGCCTCCTCCTCCCTACCTCCTGGCACAAGCCGTTTTGCTCCTGCAGCTGCCAAGCCATCCTGCGGCTCCATGAGCTTCCCGCTGCCGCCCCCTCCCCATCTGCTTGGCCTTGGAGACCTGAGTGAGTCC